GGATGTATCACAGCTCATCAAAGAAATGGGACAGGGATAAAAGATTGTAATATTCCATTCACACTCTCCTGCCAAGAGGGTTTATAATCAGGAAGTGTGCAAGACAGGAGGTGGACTTCCTGTACTTCTGAATGGAGATATAATAGCTTGCGCTGTATCACATCATGGGAATATCGAGAATGCATCCTGCCGAGAGCCTCGCTTGTGTTAGTGTGACGCACAAAGGGAGAGTACAGCTGCCATGTATTTGTTATCGTAACACTGCGCTCATCTTTAGATATTTCGGAGGATGAGAGTCTATTTTTAGCTCTTTCCGTCGATGAATCGGTCAGTTATGTGGCTAAGAATGGGAGGTGTGACAAATGATGAATGTGGTGTGCGAGCTGGGATTCTGGTTGTTATGGAAATCTCAGTGATATTTCACAGCCTCTCACAGGAAGAGGTGACCAACACACTGAGCAGTAAATGCATGAGTTACTAAGCACAGATGAAGGATGCCAGTTCCCTAAAGATTTGTCCACTGAATAAAGTCAATTGATTTCTGTGTTTTTACTGAAATACATGATAGAATGTAAGATTGCATAATATGTCACAAGCTTATTAAATAATTGTAAAAAAAAATCTTACTGATCCCAAACTTTTGAACTGAATTTTATTAGAGCACTACATTTTACCACATGAACTAACATTGCCATGTCATAAAAAGGTCAAATTATCATATATTGTAAGAGATGTATTGACCTTGACACACACATGAGGGTCTATAGGAGTCCTCTCAGTGACATCATTTTCATGCTTTATATTTTTTCCTCCTGCATGTTGGTTACACGACATGGACAGGACAAAAAAGAGACTCGAGACATTGACGCAATAACCTGGCAACCTCCCAGAACACTGTAGCATTGTGATTATGAGCATTGCACATAATGTATTGCCAACATTCACAGTGGTGCATGTTACACCTCACTATACATAATTGTACTGCGTAAAAAATAAAAAAAAGAGTTAATTATTACAATAGTGTGCTTCAGAGATGACATATTTTGTAGGCCTAAACCTGGAAACGAGTTCATCGTGACGTTTTGGGTTTTTGGTTGAATACCTGAAAAAATGTCTTTGCTTAAAAAAATCTTTTTTTTTTTTTATGTGGGAATCAGGGTGATGCCAACTTCCAATTTGACCTACACAAATACATTATCAGTGCAGCACTCTATACAACATTAGTGGGCCTGGGACAACGCTCCCCGATTGTCCCCCAGACGACAGCCCTGCAATAGCATTATAAACGAGCGCTTAAAGAGCACAGTGATTCCTGGAGAAAGTGTCCTCACAGCCCAGATCTGCAATTTTGAAAACTAGAAGGCCTGGATCCTAATAAGCCGTTCTCCGAGGCCCTACCGCAAGCATGCGAGACACACCGTAAGGAATTCTCCATTCCACCCCAATGTCCCCTACCCCTTCTTTCTTCCTCCATCCTCTTCATATCCTCCCCCCTTCAGCCTCATAGCTTTTGCAGCCGCTCGGGACATTGCAAAGTGCTTCAGCAGATGGAAAGCAGTCTTTAATTACAGTGGAATCAGCTGACCGGCATGCATCCCTCTCTTTCCGTCCTGGATGGACGGAGACAGAACAACAGCAAGGTAGAAAAGTAAGGGCGCTCCCACATGCATTCATGCAAATGTCAACAACAAACTCCGGTTCTAAATGAGAGTTTGAAGACTCCTCCAGATGCACGTTGCAGGGGTGTGTGTGTGTGTGTGTATGTGTACTTGAGGTAATGAAGGAGTGTTTGTACAATTTTTGGAGGATTTGTCTTCCTCTTTGACAGGGGTCTGTCAAAGTGCTTTATAATGCTGGTATCTTGGCTGCAGTTGTGCTGGGGGAGTCCCAGAGGAAGCTGTTGCTTGTTCAGTTTACAGTGAATGGCTCCCTTCCTGCTCCAACCGTGGCCCCAAAGGCTGGAGGCCAGGGTGCAGGGCTGTGTGTGTGTGTGTGTGTGTGTGAGAGAGAGAGAGAAAGAGAGAGAGCTCTCCCCTGTGCTTGTGTGGGTGGATATGCAATCGTACATCTGTTTGTTTGATAATGTGTATGTGTTTGTCATTTAAACCTTGCAGATTTGCACTGTTAAAACAGTTCTTGGACTTCCTTATTTAATTCTCCAACTTTTAACTGTTTACAGAAGGGAGTCTCATTTCCTACCATTACTGCTGCAATTGGCCCATTTGCTTCAGCTGTCGCTCCATAAAGGTCGGCACCTTTACATAAGCAAGACAGCCCATTATCTGCCTTTTTTGTCTGTACTAAATATCAGTCAGCAACCTGGAAATAATTTACACTGTGAACTCTTACAAGAAAGTTTCAGTAATGTATTCTGAGGTTACTCAGAAATGTGTGGAGGACTGCCATTTTCTGCCCAAGTCAACTGAAAAGTGGTTAATTGGATACATTGCCGCCATCTGCTGGGGTTTGCCCATACAAAACTGACTGCCATTATACTTGTGGATGGTTGTCAGAGCGTTGGTTTATGGTTGCCACAGTGTTCTGGGTGGTTGCTTTTTTAACCTGGTTTGTCAGATGCCAGGCATAACTCCAAAAGCTATAAAAAGCAAGAGCATAGTTCTCCTCAGTACGCTGCAAAATTTGAATTATTGTTACTGAATACTTAAAATTAGAGGTATAGGCAAAAGTAACAGTGACTTATTTCTGTTGTATTAAACTTTTTTTCCGGTCAGTGATGCAAAACCTCCCTTTCCAATAAAATCAACATAATAATAAAAAAAATGACATTTTATATAAAATTCTTTAAAATGCTTTAAGTATATTTGGCCAGCAGTTGCATAGCGCTAATAAAAAAAATAGATAAATAAATAAATAAACAAACATTGCCTGCAGTGTCATTGTTAACTAAAACGAAATAATTTTTTTGTTAAATTAAATTATGCTGACATCAAATCTAAAAATGAGATTAAATACTTAAAAATTACACTAAAATTAGAAATGTTGCCTTGGCAACTACCTCAAAATAAAATAAGATTAAGTTGAAGTACTAGAATTAGTCAAAATAAAATGACAGCTAAATATTAGGGGAAAAAATTATAAAAATGACTCATAGCATATAGCAAAATTAATCAAATTTATTAAACATCATTTAAAATATTTATAAATAATGCTAAAATAACACTGTCTGATAACATGCTATCTGGCATGACTTATAATCAATTATTACACGGCTCTGTGGAATACTTGATTCTGATTGGTGATTCGCGCCATCCAGCGGTATGTTATGTAAGGGATAATGTACATCCAGCCGGTTGTTATCTCAGAATAAACCCCGACAGGGTGCTCAGGACCCCGACGCGAAGCGGAGGTAGATGTACATTATCCCGCTTATTACACAGCTACTTGCCACATAAGTAAATAATTAGATGCGAAATATTGATTTGAGTTGAAATATTTGAACGCAAAGCTTCTGTGAAGACAGCAGTTGCGAGCAAGCTAGACGGACATTTAAGGGAAACGGTCTAGTCAAACCACTTATTGCACAACATTTCACCACAAAAATAATTAAGGCAATAAAAGAATTAAGACGAAAATGTTTTAAAACCTTACCAGTTTGTTAGTTCTCTTATAATCCATTACAGCGGACAAAACAATCGTAGCAAAACGGCAGCAGCTGCGTTTGTTTGAAACGAGAGCGAGTCTGCGATACCAGGATGACATAATTAAATAATTGTACACCATTTTGAATCGAGTTTTAATATTTTATTAGCTAAACAAACGCAAAGCTTCCACCAAGAAAAGATAGTTCGAGCAAGAGTACAGCGCCGACTGCTGTTACCCGGATGAGCCTGTGTTACCGGTTGTTATCGAGGGATAGCATACCTCGGAATGTCGCGACTGACCAATCAGAATCGAGTATTCCACAGAGCCGTGTAATAATCCCAGATAACAACCGCCAAATTGAATAACACACGCTCATCCGGGTACTACGAGTTATCTTGACTGGTACTACTTTTATGCTTAACGAGTCACTCCGCTATCGTTGACTGTCTGACGCCATCTTGTGACTGAAAACACTTAACCACCGCGTGTTACAATGGAAGACTTCAGCATTAATGGTAAAAACCATATATGGTCTTCGCGTCGGGGTCCTGAGCACCCTGTCGGGGTTTATTCTGAGATAACAACCGGCTGGATGTACATTATCCCTTACATAAGAAACAATACAGGAGGTTTCTTCAGTCTCAAAGAGCTCATTAGGTAGATTTTGTTTAATGGTTTAAATCAATATGATGTTCATCGTCACGCCAGGCCAAAGAAAAGTTATTTTGTTTCCCTTGGTTCGATTTGTATTCTCCTTCTCCTGCTAAATACACATTCTAACTGCTGGTGGAAACAATCCAAAACCACAGTAAGGTGGGATGCACAAAGCAGACATATTTAGTACAATTCCAAGAACTGTGCTGTTATTATAATAACTTTGGTATGCATACCAAAAACTCTTCAAAAGGAGTCATTAACAGGTGTGAGGTCAAATGAATCGTTCACTTGTCTAATACATCATCTGCGCTCTTAATAACTGAACATTTGCTTCTTGTACAGAAATGTCTTTTTCTTTTTTAATGCATTTTAAGAATTTGAAATATGTTATTTCACATCGACTGGGGATATATTTTGGAGTTCACATTTATTATAAATGTTTTCTAAGTGTTTTCAATAACAGTATCCGTTATATTGCCTTTAATTTGGTGTTAAATGGTTATAAAGATTTATTGTTGCATTACTGAAAGTACTTTTCACAGTATTTTCACAGTGAAGCTAGGCTATTTGAGATATATTGCAATCCTTATGTACAGCCTAAATATACAGTATAAAACAGGAAGGGGGCAAAAACTTTTTCACACCACTGTATATGTTTTTTCTTTATATATGTATTATAAAGATAAAATGCCTAACTAGACATTGTCTTCACCTTTACGTTGGAAATGCACAGTTTTTTTATAGTGCTTGGGTTGTTTTGAGGGCCTCTGATCAGCACAAGAGTTACTGTATGCTGCCATCCACTGGAATCGGCAGGAAGTAGATTGCATTTTGGCCCTTGTGTGTTTTGGAGCCGTTTTTCATGCGTCCGTTCTTTTTGATCCCCACGTACCAGTCTCCATTCTCCTGATACCTCTGTGAGCGGTATGTGTTGTAGTGGTTCTCCTCTATCTTCTCAATGAAGCAACACTCATCGTTCAACATGACCTGACACACAGAACAGAGATCAGAGGTGGGTTGTGCTGTTTTTTTTTTACATTTTACTGAATTAGAGTTCAGGAATTCAACGTTTAAACATCATGCTCTACTTTCAAACAATAGAGTGTTAATATGTATATAAGAATATGAAATATTCAATACATTAAATGTACATCTAGGTTAATGCATTTTGTGATCAAAATTAAGTTTAATAGAAAACTACAACTAAAATTAATATATAAATAAGTAATAGTTAGATGAACTTACAGTGCTGTAAAGTTTTCCATATTTGTCCATTGCCAGGTATAGTCCAGTCTTATGACCCCTAATAGCCACTATTCCTGCCTTCACTGCTTTTACCTTTAAAAGAACTGTCATACAATACAACGTTCATGGTAAGGTAACAGGTTCTTTTTACTTGACACATTAATTAAATTTTTACAGTGTAGCCTATGCTAGTAGTAGTAGTAGTAGTAGGCCCTGTAATACCAAACGATTTCATCATTATTTCATATCTATTTTAGTTAACATTTTTAAATTTTGCTCTATGTTAGAACATACTTTCCGTCACATGTATATCAAGTATGCTTGGGGGGGGATCTGTATACTGCATACTTACTGTAAACGTCGTTATCTTGTCGACTCGCGTCCACGGTCCCGTTAGGTTGGATCCGGAGATGGTATCCTCCATTCCTGCAGTAAAGTTTTTGCAGAGAGTTATGTTTGGGATCTTTCTGCTCGGTGGTCATCGGTAGGAGTGTGAAAGCGGTGATATCCCGCTCGGTCATGGCGCACAAGTGCTGCTCTGAGACGCGCTGTACGCATGAACACCCCATGACTGAAATGGATCCGTCTTCCGAGCTCAACTACCACTTATAACTGGTGTGTGTCATGCAGCCTCCTTCACAGAGTCTTATTATAAACAGCCAAAACGGTTCTGCTATTTTGAAACATAATTATAGACCCTAAGAAGTATACTACAAGTTTGTAATATATATATATATATATACAGTATCTATATGCACAGGAAATGTGTATTATTATTATTATTACATAAACATGATCCATTATCATTTTTTATCTGTAGAACGACTACAAAACCTTAAATGCATAATCATAAAGTTAATTATTAATCATGTTAATTATTGATTATTATTAATAACTAGATAATTATTGATATTATCGTAAGAGCAGCTTGTAGGCAGTATTGATGGAACATAAGCACAAGATTCATATAATGGAAATTCTTTATAAACCACCATAATTTGTATTTATGGGTCTAAAGTTGTACAAGAACCCTGCTGAAGGCCAAAAGAGTAGTCGTTACTAGTTTTGTTTTCATTCACATCAAAAGGCCTCAGCCAGACAGCACATCTGAAGTGGTTTGGAAAGCTATCAGAGACGTGTTCGGAAGCAAGAGAGAACAAACAGTACAGGAATTTTCCAAGCAGCCACTGCACAGATACATTGTATTTATTGAAAATAGAGCCTTAGTGCCAGACAGGTTGTCGAGAACACTGAGCGAAGCAGCCAGTGTGAATGACGACCCTCAACAGAGTGCTAATGAACTGGGCAGGCCAGCAACGGTTGAGACTTACCTGTGACTTTGTTTCAGAGCTGCAAAGAGAAATGCTGGTAGCTCTGGGACAAAGTTTGTTCCTTTGGTTTTTTGACTCTGGATACCAATGTACTCCTGAACATGCATTTTGATGGATGACTAGTGTTACTGGATACTTTCCAAAGCAAAAACATCAGCTTTTGCTTTCTATCCAGTGCCTATATGTGTGTGACGTGGACCTACGATATACTTGGAAAACCTGCATGTGTAACCTGCATGGTCATCAGAGCTGACCTCAGGTCGGTTCCTGTAACTCCGCTAGATGCGGTCAGATCTGTAGAAGATATGTGAGTTCATCGTGCCCAGAGAGTCAACTGTGTTATGAATTCAGGACATTCTATATTTAGGTCTGTGTATCATCTCTATTTGTAACACATTTGTTCACTCACCCAGTTTTACTGAACTTTTGACGTACAGTAGTAGTATAAATGTGTCGTTTCAAATGACAACGGTTTCCACACCGTTTTAATTTATATATCCATTTGTATACTGTATTTTAAGATAACTTTGTATAATCCAAATAAGCTTTACATGTGTCTATTGGAAAGGGTTTAAACAATGTTTTTCATGCTTGTTCTTTGAGCCATAAACAATTATTGCTCATGCACCTGTGGAACAGTCCTTAAGACACTTTTATGACAATTAATGTCACAGCTCCAGGACAGTAAAGAGACCTTTGTTTCTGAAAAACACCAGAAGAAACAAATGTCCATGGTTGACAACTGTTGAAAACGTCTCGACTACGTATGGTAACCCTCGTTCCCTGAAGGAGGGAACGGAGACGTCACGTCGGATGACAGACGCATTGGGATCTTGCTTAGAGAGACCAATCCACTTCGAGTGTAAACTAAATGAGCCAATGCACATTGGGATGCGATTATTGCATCCAGCTGTCACTGACCACAGCGTGAGTATAAGTAGGCAGCTGGTGCAGCGAATATTCAGGTTTTCGCTGAGGAGCCGAGCCGGTAACCCGGCCGCTCAGCGGTGGTACAGAAGCTATGGCGACAGTACGTGACATCTCCATTCCCTCCTTCAGGGAACGAGGGTTACCATACGTAACCGAGACGTTCCCTTTCAGTCGGTCACTCTTGACGTCACGTCGCATGACCGACGAATTTGGATCCCTACCAAAGGGCTATAGCTACTGCCCCTTCCAGTGTCCTGTGGAAGCCTCCTGCGCCCCTACTTTTTGGCGCAGGCCAGGGCTTACCACAAGAAGACCAGCTACTGCTGCTATGGCACTACCCACTCAGTAAGACTGGATAACACTAGGAAAACGTACCCGTACCACTTGGAACAGGGACAATGCGGAAGCCCCATCCTTCTCGAAGGAGGTTTCAGAAGCACTTACACATATGAACAACCGTTTAGGAGCATATGGAAGATTAGAGGTGATTGTAACCCTCTTGAAAAATAGCAGGAAGTCTACTGGGGAAACACGGGCTCTGAGGCTATACCGTGGACTTTACACATATGGGATCCACTTAGGTCTCTACATATGGAACCCAGCCCCCTACTGGTTCTCATGGATTCATTGAGTGAGGGCCTGGCGCCGGACGCTCTGCCATGTCTGGCTGCTGAGGGGATGGAGGAGCATGACAGGGTCTACGATACGGACTCTCTGGAGTGGTTTTAGCAAGCCGACCCGAAGCCGAGGCCTCTCAGTGCTTCTACCCTTTGAGGTGAGAACACATGAGGATACCGCCTCCACACAAAGGCTATAGAATCTAGCGAACGTGTTAGGGGTCGCCCAGCCCACAGCTCTACAAATATCTGTCAGCGAGGAGCCACGAGTCAGCGCCCAGGAGGATGCAACACTTCTAGTAGAGTGAGCCCATAACCTGAACGGGCAGGGCACACCCTGTGTCTGATAAGCCAGGGTGATGGCATCCACTATCCAGTGGGCCATCCTCTGCTTAGAGATGGCATTCCCCTTCTGCCGGCCTCCATGACAGACAAAGAGCTGGTCTGAGGTCCTGAATCTTTGTGTCCGGTCTACGTAGCATCTTAATGCTCGGACGGGACAGAGCAAAGCTAGGGCTGGGTCTGCCTCCTCCGGGGGCAGCGCTTGCAGGCTCACCACCTGATCCCTGAAGGGAGTAGTGGGAACCTTGGGCACATAGCCGGGCCGGGGCCTCAGGGTTACCAGGGAGTAAGCCGGCCCAAACTCTAGGCACGATTCGTCGACCGAGCATGCGTGCAGGTCCCCTACCCTCTTGATGGAGACCAATGAAAGCAGGAGCAAAGTTTTCATTGACAGAAACTTTAGCCATGGCAACTTTTATGGAGTCCAACTCCATACCGAGAAAAGAGATCCTCTGCGTCGGGCAGAGTTTGCTCTTTTTCCAGTTGACCCGAAGGCCCAACTGGCTGAGGTGCTGGAGCACCTGTGTTCGCACAACTGAGACTGAGCCAGTATGAGCCAGTCGTCGAGGTAGTTGAGAATAGTTGAGAATGTGAATGCCTTGTTCTCTCAGGGGAACAAGGGCCGACTCTGCAACCTTCGTGAAGACACGGGGTGACAGGGATAGCCCGAAGGGCAGGACCTTGTACTGATATCCTTCAAACGCAAACCACAGGAATGGCCAGTGGCGCGGAAGGATTGACACATGGAAGTACGCGTCCTTCAGGTCGATCGCTGCAAACCAATCTTGGGGACGGATGCACCTGAAGATGCGCTTCTGCGTGAGAATCTTGAACGGGAGCTTGTGAAGGGCCCGAAGGGCAGGACCTTGTACTGATATCCTTCAAACGCAAACCACAGGAATGGCCAGTGGCGCGGAAGGATTGACACATGGAAGTACGCGTCCTTCAGGTCGATCGCTGCAAACCAATCTTGGGGACGGATGCACCTGAAGATGCGCTTCTGCGTGAGAATCTTGAACGGGAGCTTGTGAAGGGCCCGATTCAAGACGCGCAGATCCAAGATTGGTCTCAACCCACCGACTTTTTGGGCACAATGAAGTAAGGGCTGAAAAACCCCATCCTCATATCGGCTGGAGGGACCGGCTCTATCCCATCCTTCGCCAGTAGGACTGCGATCTCTGCACGCAAGACAGGGGCATCTGCTGCCTTCACTTCTCGTAGTGTACGTCCCTGAAAAAGTGTGTTAAAAGTGAGAAACGTGTCTTTGTTTCAGGAACTGTATGAATGGTTTGGAAAATTGTGCCAAACGAATCAGTTATAGTGTGTTAGTAATTGAGAAAAACTGTAAAACTCCTAAACAGAAATATAAAATTAGGCATATTTCTCTAAACTAATTTTAAATTGTCAAAACAGTTAACACATCCATTAAACAGATTTTTATTTTGGCAGCGTCCGGACTGGTCTTACGGTGACGGTGAGGAATTCCCCTCCGAGGAACCAACCTCCGAGGGTTCCTCCTTCCGCCGGCACTTCGAAGCCAATGGATTGATCTCATTAGTGTGTAAGACTAAGTTGTTGTGTGTGTGTTTCTGAGGCCGAAGTTTGTTTGTTTCAGCAAGATTGAATAGTTTTGAGTGGAGAGCTTCATTTTGACCTGAAAATAGGAATTATGGGGAATTGGGTGAGATGTTATGGATTTGTGTTTAGAGTTTCGAGAAAAGGAGTCACAATTTCAAGAAATCTGTTTAAGCAATCGAGAAAAACTGTAAAAGGCAAAAAAAGAGTATAAACAATGTTACTGCAATTAAAACATTAATTCATTTAATTCATGTCTCTTTTCGGACACATGGGGGCAGTATAGTCCATGTCAGAGATAGTTGTGCCGGACCAATTCATGAGCAGAAAGACCAGCTGGAATGAAAACGATAGAGGCCGTTCTTATGACACTGAGGTTCTCATGCCTATGGGGCAGGTGTTCATGTGATGCCTGATAAGTGATACAATACTGTGCAGCTTGAGAATTGATCAGCCAGGGGCATTTGGGAGTAGGAACTGGGCAACACTCAACATGTTTCTCTTAACTAATATATTCATACATCTTGTACGTAAGCATCGCTCTTCACTGGGTTAGGTATTTTGGGGAGGGCAAAAAAAGGACCCACAGCACAACAAATGTAATGTATGCCTCGTCCAGTTACATGAAAAAATCCATGTTGAACTTTCTCAGTGCAACATTTCTTTGATGTACTGCCCCTCTTTGGTGCAATTTCAGCATTTAATTATTAATGCAATTGTATCTTTTTTTAGTTTCTCTGCAACTATGGCAACACCAAAGTGAACT